AACATATTCTCTCTGTCAGCATACATTCAATTACTCATCCTCCCGTCGCTTCGTGGCCGGTCTTATATATACAAGACTACACTATATCTAGAAGGATCACGAGATTTAAGGAAAAAACGTGAATGTTCGAGAACGACGTGACGTAATACTAGTCACGTGACCTCGATGTCATAACAATTCTAAGACTGAGCCATGAGGTATCCCACTTAGCTAATTTATCCCCCCCCCCCAAACATTTAGAGATACTTTTTACGAGCCTTTTATGTGACACTTTGTCAAATGCCTTCAGAAAATTCCGATACGCCTTATCTACATAAGTGGTAACATTTTCAAAGAATGTAAAAAAATTTGGAAAACAAGACTTTCCCTTAGTGAAACCATGTTGTCTATCCAAATATGGAATCATACAGCAATGCTAAAAACGCTTATTAACTATTAAATAAAATAGACTAAACGAAAGCAATAAAGAAAATGAAAAATCTATTTAAAAACTCGAGATAAAAAGCGATGTGTGTAAATTTACCTGTGTGGATGCTGGACTTAAATGAGAAACTCAGTCAGACTGTCGAATACAAGCCCTTTTTACCAGCCTTCCAAGCATCTTACCTTTTCCTTGTTTTTGTGAAAAACAAGAATTAAATCTTACTGTGATTTAATTACCATTTAACTACATTCACAACATTGTTATTTTTAAAAAGTTACCCCAACAATGTTTACTGTTTGCTCAGTTTCAATCTTTGGAGTTGGAATGGGGCAATACTACACCCCACTCCTATCTCCTCTAATTTGGCCTGGTGAATCAATAAACAAATCTCTGCATGAAAGACAACTGACATTTAGGTCCTTGGTACATTATATCCTGTAAATAAAGTTACTAGTTTCTCCCATCGATAGAGAACTCCAGACTTTATTTATGGTCTTAAAGATTAAACGTAGAAATAGAAATATTATTATTTGTTACGAGGTCTAAGTGTGTTAATCTCCTCAAAATTGTTGGAGTCTACTCTGTCCCAAACTTTATTTCAAGTTACTGTAGGTAGTTATCTTTTACTTTTAGGATACAATTAGGTTGCAATGCGTTGTAAAGTTCATGCTTTTTCAACCGTGTTAACTTTATATTATTGTTATTTCTGAGTAGAGTTGTATATACTGGGGTGGGGGCTTAAATTCTCAAGCCTTGTTGTGAATTTGTGTTTGTTTTAAAATCCTAAGAGGAAACTTGTAAACTGAGAGCAGGGATGATTTAAAGCCAGTGCATGGCATTTATGGCTAGTATATATGGCTAAAAGGTGTGTGTTGAGATCTGATACTCCCAGACCTATCTTCATCTTGCCTAAGCTTGGCTTATACTCTTCTATCTGTTTATATTGATTTAGATGTGAACAAACCTTATATTTATCCAATTAGACTGACATTACCATATGACAAGTTATTCCCAGAATATATATACTTGAAGCCTTAACCTCTAGCTATCTAAGTGAAGCAATTTGCTAGCACTCCATCATCCACATGGACGAATAATTTTACAGGTGTTTATAGAATGTATATTCCTTATAAAAGAAAACTTTCGCCATGTACTACATAGTGGACTTTTGGCGCTACTCGTGGGTGCAAGGTTCTTCTTTAGGTAAGGTGTTTATTCATTCCGTTTCTTATTTGTCAGTGCAGGTTACTGTTGGTATGTCCTGTCAAATGTAATACTTCATCCGGGATGTCTAATTCTGAGGCGTCAATTGGGGAAGGAGCGACAGTGTTGCTCGTTCCCTTAAGCTCGGAAGGGGGTACCATGTGGCATTTTCTGTGAAACATTTCTAGTCAGGGTGGATTAACACATATATGCAAGTTATGTCCTATTAATGTAGAGCTTCCAGCTTTTATTGCCCCCCAAGTCTTTTGGGAAATGACGCTATTGGTCCAACCCAGTTATCCGCTTTGAATTTTGTGTTCCGTAAAATGTACTGTTACGTCTCCGTTTGTTAATTGATTTTTCCGTAACTTCGTTCCGACGAAACTTTAACGACAAAAGCCTTTACTTAATAAAACTGGTTTATTCTTTCCAAGTATAACTTTACGATACACTTAATTTCAATATTCGCGCTAGAACAAACACTATAACGAACGAACGTTAACTTCAACAATACCCTGTGACTGCAGTTCAATTACTCACTATCTACTCACACGCATTCCCGCGTCACCCTCTTATATATACCCGACTACCCTATATCTAGTAAATACTAGAGCATCCGCCAAGGTACAGGACAGTTCTAGAAACGTGGCGTCACAGTAGTCATGTGACTCGCTGACGCAACAGTACGTATTTTTTACACAAAAAATCATAACAATTTTACGCTGAACCAGCTCCCAGTTTCTTTCCTACCGTTATCTTTACTTACTTTATACCACCGTAGAGTAGCTAAATAGCCAGCTATTTCGTTCTAACTTATGTGAATGCACAAGTTTGAAAATAGAATTTACAGAGAACTGGCGGTTAAGAAGTTGAACTCGCAATCTGAGGGTCGCGAGTTTGAATTTCTTCATCGAACATGCTCGCACGGTCAGTCTTGACTTTGTGATGTGACGCCCAATCCCATTTTTGTGTTAATAAAATAATAGTCCAAGAGTTGACGGTAGGCGTTATATATTGATTGGCTGTCTTTCCTCTAGTCTATCACTTCAAAATTAGAAACAGCTAGTCCAAGTAGCTTTGCGCAAAATCTAAAAACAAACAGACAAAAAAAATTTATAGGTTTGTACAACGAACAAAGTGTTCTATTAAATATATGTTTTCACATAGATGGTAAACATTATTTATTAGGCCTACTTTTAATTTGAAAAAAGGCAGCCCTGACCTATTCTTACTAATATCTCTGAGATTTGTAAATATGTATATATAAAGTTTCATTCATCGGTCAAAACCACAGACGATCGTGGTAAAAACATAGATATCCCATATTTATTGGAAAAACACAGAACGCTGTGCACTCTGATGAATAACGTTAAAAAATAAAACATGAAAATAGTGTACATATTTATTTAGGAGAAAATGAATTAATGGGCATAATATGCATAAAAAGAGAGTTTTGAAAACGTAACAAAAAAGAAAAAAAGAAGAGATAAACAGAGAGACATTAGATACTACCTAAGTAATAATACGCTTTATAAAAGACTGTCCAAATACATAGTTGCTATTATCTTTTGCTACTCTAGAATATGTTAAATACCTTTCATATGATACGGTGAATAACGTTAGAAACGTTCTCAAGAACATTACGAATGTAAGCTTACGTTATAGTTAACTTCAACATTTGTTAAAATAAGCATCTTTCAAAACTAGCTCATATTTTGATTGTTATATAGGAAAGTAAGAAGATACTAGAGTACTGCTTTATTATTGTATTGTCCAATTACATTATCAAATGCATAAAAGTGTTACTGTTGGTTTGCTCTACCCCTTGTCAAACAGTTTCAATAGGCCTACGAGCTACGAGTAGTACGAATATTGTTTTGAGATGCACCAAGTATATTGAACAGACCTTCTATGTTAATTAAAGAAAATATCTTTGCGTTTAACATTGGAAGATGAATATACTATAACCAGTAAATAATATATATATTTTAACAAAAGACTGCATAATTCAGTTTTTTAACGTTATAGATTTTCATTAGACGAATTTAGACTTGGAAGTTGGAGCAAGGCAAGTATTCACGATAGATATTCTCATGGTTGAACAAGATGAAGTTTTGATGATGTTAATTGTTTTCCATAAAAAGATATTTAGCCTTTTCTAAATAATAGATTGGAAAGTAGCTTAGCTCTGGTAAAGGACAGGTAAAACATTTTGATACTGATAGTAATATATGAATAGCTGGAGATTATTATGGTAAGGGACAGTTCAACCATGATATTGATAGGCTTTTGTTATCCTCATCATCTACAGATTAACTGGGAATCTCTTGTAAGTTGTAGCTGATAAGAGAACAACTGATGAATTGGGATGAACAGTGATTAATAACTGAAGGGATAGTAGAGACAATAAAGAAATTTGAATTAGTGATGGAAGGATTAAGTGAGGGTAGTGAATTTTATGATATGAGTTAAATTGTGTTTTCCTTTGGTGTTTAGGTACTCATAGAAAATAGATTTGTCTGGAGTTTGTTTGTTTTTTCATAGGTTATTTCTGTACTTGTCTAAAGTAGACTTTTTGGTTTGAAAATTAAAGAAAGGTCTGATCAATGAAGTATACATCCATTGTAAATTTAAGAAATCAAATTACTGTACACAAACACTTGGTGAATAGATCAGTTAAAATAATTTTACTGAACAGGAGAATAATAACCACCATTGAAAGCAGATTTAATTTTCTCAGTTGTAAAGTACAACTCTCTTCTTAGGACTGTTTTGTAACTTTATAATGGGAAGTAAGGACTTGTTGAAAAAGGTGTATAAAATAGCTACTAGATTGATATCTGGTTTATGAACTTTGAGCTAGGAAAAGATGTTTGTAAAAAGACTTAGACATGTTTTTCTAAACTGTAAGAGCAGTTTGGTTGAAGCGTAGAAACATTTTAGAGACTTGAACTATGCATGAGAGGTCTGTTTGAGTGGAATGATAAAGTCTGATTTGGAAATTTAAGGTTTTTGGGATAGTTAATTAAAGCATTAGATGTCCAGAGAAAAACATGTTATGTAAAACTTTTACTTTAGTTGTTAAATTTTGGAGTACATTAGTTGCTAATTTGAATTTATTCAAACTTTTTGTTTGGAAAGTATGTGAATATAAAAGAATATGTCAATGTGCAAGTTTGATTTATGATAGTGGTTGTTTAGTTGCAGAGTGCAAATTGTGACCTTGATGGCCGAGTAACCAATATTACTGTGTATGTTCCTTTGTGTTTTTTCATTAGAAGGCTTTCATCAAGATAGGGACCACATTATTAACTTTTATTACCACTTTTCATCTATAGAGAATACATTTGGAACGTTTTTGTATTCGAACAATTAGAATGAGGGGTCTTTAACATGTGGACATGTTTAACTTGAGTAATCAATCTAATCAATTATCTATGAGCTTCAATTATATTGACTGATATCGTGTAAAATAGTCAATTATGATTAAATTTATTAATTGTTATGAAAATAATCAAATAATCAAAATTATTGTTTCCAGTTATTATGTTTTGAGATTATTCTACATTCTAACTGTGACAGTTTCGTATGAGAATAATTGATAAGTTCAGTTTTTCTACTAGGAAAAAAATCACTGCCAGTCATAATGTTGAATACTAATTATTTTACTGGTCACCACATAAAATGGTCATTTTCTCATAAGAGTTACTCTTTGATGTATTAAGAAATCTTTTAAAATTGTTAGCATTATATGAGTTTAGAAATGTCTAACCAGAATGTTATTCATTTTAATTTTCCTTGATTATGTAGTATAATATTTAAGTAAAAGTGCTTCGTGTGGTGACAAAGAAACACACAGGTATAAAATAATAGTAGGGATCGACAAGGATTACAAATAATTTGTGCTTCAATAAACCACCCTGTTGAATTCCTAAGCAAAAAACTGACCATTCAAAGTATTGTTTACGATATGTTATGCACATATATACTAATAATGCACTAAAAAGGTCGTTAACATTTCCAGTAGAACAATTAAAAGATTTCTGAAACAGCAACTTTTTCATCTACTACCTACCTACCTGATCACGTCAGCGGGGCCAACTCAAAGATGGCTCGGACTATCGCTTCAAGATTTCTCCAGCTTTCTTGACTAGACACTGGGTATCTGCTTTTGATATTCTGATAAATATAAACAGATTTTTTATAAAATGGTAAACATATCATGCACATACTTAAATATAATTTCAACCCAACAGATGGCACTACATGTCAATGGATAAACACTTGACAGTTTCTGAAGATAAAATATATTCTTTATACAGGTATAACATAAAATGTAAACAAACAAGAGTATTAGAAAATCATGAATTTTAAAATTTAGTATGGATCCTGCTACAAAAAGTAATGAAACAAGAACTAAAACCACAATCACAAATTTATAAAATTTAATCCTTACTTTGTCAGCTTTATACATTTATCTGCAGGCCTAAGTAAGGGATGACATTTTATAAGTTTGTGATTGTGGTTTTAATTCTTGTTTCATTACTTTTGTAGCTGGTCCCCTACTTCATTTTAAAATTCATAATTTTTCAATACTCTTCTATATATAAATATATGTTATGGTTTGACTTATAGCTAATGTGCTTTTTCTTTTCTTTATTTTCAGAATAGGATATCTTTTGAGTTAGTTAAATCAGTTGTAACACATTTAGCTTTCAAATGATGGCTGTACATTCAGTTGGTGCTCCAAAGCGGAAAGAAATATACAAATATGAGGCTCCGTGGACGGTATATAGCATGAACTGGAGTGTTCGCCCTGACCGACGTTTTCGGCTTGCTCTTGGAAGTTTTATTGAAGAATATAATAATAAGGTATGTCACACAGTAAAAAGAAATATCAAAATCCATATGTATTCTTTACATATAAGGCTGTGCAGAAGAAGTGAAATTCCTTAGTTCTGTTTTGTAATGGGTAGCTTGAATATAAACTGCACTTAGACTTAATTTCTTATTACCTGGCTCGGCAGATTAATCAAAAATAATAAGGAAAAATTGTAAAAGCAATATTAATATTACTAGATTATTGGAATTATCAAAAATAGTAATAATTGGAAACACTAATTTCAGTTACTTGATTATTTTTGTGACAGTAAATAATATAAATGTAATTTCAGGTAACTTAAGGTTAAACAAATTATAAACAGTAATAATCCAAAACACTTTCATTTGTTAATTATATTCACATCATTAATCAGTTTTCTAGTAATTTTGATTATTAGACAGTTGGAGTAATGAAAAGCATTAATAATCAGAAACTCTAGTTGATTATTTTCATGACAGTAATTGATGTAATCCTAGTTTCATTTATTTTACATGAAGCTATTTGATGTAAATAGTTAATTGTCCGGCTCTACAGCTAAACCTACTCTTGTGTATTATAGTCACTATAATATACAAGAGTAGATTTAACTCACTATAGTGTACTACTAAGTACTTGTTTGTTATGTTATACAACTAAATAATAAAGATAAAATTTCCAAGTAAAGTTGATACAAAGAATTGAAAGGGGCCTAAAGAGTATAATTTGTAGCCATTCCAACATAAATAAAGTTAATAGGATGATGAAAACTGGTATAAAACTTTAACCTGTTGCCAAGATATCAGACTTGTTTGATGAACATGATTTATATATACCTCTCTGATTGTTTTAAGGCAATATATCTGAGGCGTGTGGAAAAATAGCCTAATGGTTAATTTTCAATAAATTATTTAAGGTGTTGGACTAAAATACACCTATGATAGTAATCAGTGTGGCCTTGTGTAAAAACTGTGGGCATAATGAAAATCAAATGGTTAGGTAACTTGAATAAAGTGAAAATATCAAGGCTAAAGAAAAAATCTTGGCAGAACTAAAGTTCTGTTTTTTGTATTTTTCTTATTTTCACAGTCAGTTTATAAAGAAAATATGAACTCGCTAGTAAACCTCTGGGCCTATGGCTCACATTTGCAGGGCTGCTATAAAGCAAATTTAATTTCTTTAACTAAGTTACGAATGGTAATTCGTAGGCCTACTTAATAACATGTTTTAATGTAAATCATTGCTAGATTTGGGGTCCACTTTCAGGAAATTCTTGTAAGAGTGTTTTTGCAAAATACCCAGGTTCCCTATGGGGTTGGGGGAAAAGTTTTCCTTTGTGCAAACCTCAGGGCTGAGATGATTCATTTGGCACCATTGAGAAGTTGGGGAGTTCAGCATAAAGAGTGGGATGAGAAAAATGATATTTGTGCAAAGCTTGAGACTGAGATGATTCATTTGGTACTACTTAGAAGTCAGTGAAACCAGTGGTTTAGGAGTAGTTACATAATACACAGACACTGAATGTTTTTATATATAGATTATTGATTTATTAAAAATTGTAAAATGAATCCCAAATGTGAATTTGAATTCAACTCTTAATTTTAATCAGGTTGAAGAGAATCTATTTAAGATTCTATTTTGTTTTTTTTACAATTAAAAGGTCCAGATAGTTTCTCTTGATGAGGACACTTCAGAATTCACAGCCAAGAGTACATTTGATCATCCCTATCCAACTACTAAAATAATGTGGATTCCTGATGGTAAAGGAATTTATCCAGATCTTCTTGCAACCAGTGGTGATTACCTGAGAGTATGGAGAGCTGGGGATTCTGAGACAAGACTTGAATGTTTGTTGAACAATGTAAGCATCATTTAAGCTTCACACAGTTCAGTAATGTGATTAATCTACAAATTTTATATTGAGATATTAAACCCTTTATGGCTCAGGTTGATTTCTGTAAGTAGTAAGCTTACCATATGTATTAAGTTGCCAAGCATATATATTATTCTACTGAATGTGTGTATATATGTATATGTATATATATATATAAATTCAAAACTAAAAAACAAAAAACCTTCGCACTTTCCATTTTTTTCATCATTGAATATTTATTTTTTTTGTCACTAGAGGTAGATAGCTACCTTTAATATGCAAGTTAAATTTATTCAGTATAGCCGGGACTGGAAAGACTAACTTCAAGTAGCTGGGCTTGTCTCAGCTATCCCATGCTGTACTTGAATAATGTGACAATATGAACTACTTAAGGTAAGTCTTGTAGTTCTTTTAATATCTGTTTTTAATAAGTATTTTCAGAAAAGGGTGGAGGTTGTGAGTAACATGTAGTAGAATTATTAGGGTGGTATTTATTCTACTTTAAGGATTTTTTAGAACTTTTAAGGATGGAGGACGGTAGGCATTGTTTGGTAGAAATATATATTTTTTGGGTGGCTTAATTTTATCTTATTTCTACTTTTAACTTTATTACATCTTTTTAAGGGTAACTGCCTTCCCACAACTGACTGCAGACAGTGAAAGGCAGTAAGAGTTGAGACATTTTGGGTGTAACCATCAACCCTGTACCCTTATTGAATTTTCCATAACTGCTGACTGGTTTCTCATCTGCTTTTTGGGTTTTGTCTGATAGATGGGATATCCATAATGCTTTTGGGTGCTGTTATCACAGGAAATCTCCATTATGACTTTTGGATAACGACCGGAAAGTGCAAAGCTTTTGTTTTTAAATAGAGTTTTGAATTTATATTAAGTTCATTATTGTTTTATAGTGCTGATCTTGACCGCCTATTGGCAATTAATGTAATTGATATATTAGTTTGAAGCTATACCTCTTATTATATATGATATGTGATGTCGGTAGATTGTTCTACATTAAAAATCTTCTGATTAAGGTTTAAAATGTAGATTATGATTTTACTGATGTATATTCCTTCTTTATTTTGTATTTCACACAGTGATAGAAAATGTTTATTAATTAAAACATAACTCATGAATTATACAGGAAGTAGAACTGTGATTTTCTTTTTATCTTTTTTTGCATTAACTATATATTTTTGTTTTTTACATTTTATCTGACTAATAGAATAAAAACTCAGATTTTTGTGCACCTCTAACCTCATTTGATTGGAATGAAGTTGACCCAAATCTTCTGGGAACATCTAGCATTGATACCACATGTACAATTTGGGGTTTGGAGGTAAGAAAACTAGAGTAATTTTTATAATAATATATATATATTATACAGTTTTGGAGTATAGAGTTAATAATAACAAAGGAAATGGTTGAATTGAAGGTTATCTGCACTATATAAGAACAATGCTTCAAGTCCCATGCTGCCCTTAGAATTACATTTTATTTTGTCAGTGATACTCATTCTGATGGCCATGATTATGTACTGTTGCCTGATACTGCACTTCCCATGGTAGCAAGAAGCTTCTGTGTAAGACTGTAAGTTCAATGTTAGATACATATCTTGATAAACTTTCCAATTCTCCATTGTACCATACTTAAGAAGACTAAAGGTATAAAAATTCCTTGTCTGCTTCAAAAGACTTAACAGGTGTGTGATTGAATAGGATTACTGTAATACTAACTTTGAATGTCTCTTTCGTAAAACAATTATTGCATTCATTGACTTTAGGGTATGACTGGATTCTTGTGAACTTTTGACTTATATGTCTTTGTCAACTTCAACTCCGAAAGACAGTACACAACTCAACGAAGCTCTCCATCTTACTCTGCTTCGCCACGTCTCCCCTCAGCGTGTGAGCATCTCGTTTTGAAAAATATTAGAGATAAACTCCTTTATGTAAAAGTTTTTGTAAACGTTTAAACCGTAAAAGCCCCGGCCACGTATTCCTAATTATGTAGTGGGGTGAAGAGAAACAAATGTTTCTGACTGCCCCTGGTTATATTTCATTTCCCTTAGGGGAATGAAATATATTACTAACCTAAATACCTACCAAGCCAAAAGGAACTCTGTGTATATTATTTTATCATTGGTAACAGAATATATGCCCAGCATCTTCATAATGGATCTTTGGGTCATAGGATTCTCTTTAATAACTAAAGCCTGTACAGATAAGGGTGCAGTGTTGCTCTGGATTGACTTGGGGGTTGGCTACAAAGCTTTTTGCTCTATAAATTATCTGCTTCTGAAACTGTATCCTTACCTTTCTGCACTCAGTAGCTATTTCTTGGGCATCTGCCTTTGAGATTTTGGGCATACCACTAGCCTTGAGCTACCTCCCATCTAAGACACATTTTTAACGTGAACTGTACTAGTATGTGATGTAATTATCATGTGACAATATCCCTCCACCAATATGAGGGTGATACATCCTCCATGTACAGTAGTTCCCCATAAGCATTTGTTTATCAAAGTTTAAACTTTGTTAAATGTAGGGAGATTTGCACTACCTGTATTCCAGTGTTAACTTTTGATCATTCTATTTTATTTTGATTTAAACCTACACTGCCCATTTAATTACTGCATACAAAATAAAAAATTGGTCTTGAGAATTCCTTTAATAATAATAATGAATTCTCAAGAGATGGTAACTGCTACCTCCTCCCAAAGTTCTGACAATATTGCTAACACTGATCCTACTTTGTCTGTGGCTACTATAGGCTAATTGACTGTGGAATTACTGCCATTGTTCTATGTGTCGTAGATTTGTTAATGCCTTCATTGTCTCATTTCCCTATCCTTATGACTGAAATGTGTCCCCCCCCCCTTTTCTGAACGCGACCTTAAGAATGACGATTTTTATTAGGTCTTTCCACCTCTTGGATTTGCACTAGGCTTCTCTTTACCTGTAGAGGACAATTTTCCTCTTCCAAATCTCTTTGTGGATTTAATTTTTCAAGTATGTTCTTTATTTTCTATTTCACCTATATCTTTTTATTCTTCCTGTCCCTTAGTACACGCCTCTCAGACTGAGATTTATTGGGATTTTCCTCCTTCTCCAGACATATGTGAACATGCTGACATGTTTCTGGATCAGCTTCATTTCACATTCTCAAATGCCTTGTCCTCCTCAATTCCATGATTCCTTTGCTATACCTTATGGCAATTCTCCCTTTTCCATTCTAGGATTCCCTTTTACCAACTTGTTACTTATCTTCTTTTCAACTCCTCTCTGAAGTCCAACACTGTGATCTTGATTTTTTTTTTAGATCTACAGTCGATACTTTTCAATACCTTGACTGGAGTTTTGTCTTCTGATTTGTCCCTGCTTACTTGGTTCCTCTGTTGTAGGAACTTTCTGAAGTGGTACCACGTCCTCTCACCCAAAGTTATCTCGATTCTGGTCTGCCCTCTGCTAAAAAAAAATTTTGCTACAGGGCACTAGTCTTTATACTCCATCAGTTTTGCACCATTTCAGAACATTTGACTACTCTCCACCAATTATACTGTGCCATCTCTACTATTCTAAAATAATCCTTGCTTTCTGAATTGGCATTCTAGTGTGAAGAGGTGTGTTTTAACTTGTTCTCCATGTGACTACAAAATTTGGATTGTACTTGATCACAAATTTATATCAGTTTCAACTTCAAGTTTAGACTTCTGGTGTTTGATTTCCATTGTTTCTACCCTTTTGTTTTAGAAATATTTCTGTTTTCTGAATTCCAATTTGTTCATATGAATTTGAGATTTAATATGGCATATGATGAAATTTCCACGGCAGTTGACAATGGTTCTGACACAGGTCAACGATGTGTGCTGGGGAAGTACAGGCTTTAGTTTGTGGGGAGTTTGTGTTATACGTTTAGCCAACGATTCCTTCCTTTCATGTTATGACTTTTTTGTGAGAAAGAATATAACTATTCTGTGAAAATTTCTTTCTATGGCACTTTCCACCTGTTACCCTGCCTCCATATAATCTACTGGTTAGGTATTGTTCTTTTTTCCCAGGAGGTATTTGGTAAGATTTTCAGCAGATATTCCACTCCCAGTAGGTATACCCGTGTTTAGCGAAGTTATGTGAGCTTGTATGGTTTAACCTAATTATTTGATGCAATAATTTAGATCTTTCATGTCTTCTTTGCTAAATATTTGATAAGTTAGATTTTTATAATCCTTTTACCATCTTAGTTACTTTAGTTTAAGTTTGATTATTACTTTGTTTTTGTTTAGTTTTCAGTATATGTACGGGTTTGGCACGATACTTACTGTTTGGGTAATTTTTTGTGGGTGTGTTGGTTTGTTATTTAAACTTCCTTTCACTGTTTATGTTAATTAGTTTGTAAGTTTCATTTTCTTTACTACTAGTAACATCTAATTGGGGATTAGATATGAGTCAAATTTTGCTACTGTTAACTAGGTGCCTTTTCATTCTTATGTTCTTCAGGATAGGTTTTACTTTCGTGTCCTTTGTCTTATTGGTTCTTTGAGTGGAGTTATAAGTTAGATATTTACGTGTCTTTTACCTTCTAAGTTCCTTTAGTGGTTTTGTACTTTAGGTGTTGCTTATTGTTTTACGTTTTAGGTTGAATTTCATAGTTTTGCAAGTTTGTTATTTACTTTGTAGACTCTACAAATTTCTAGGTTTTGCTAGTTCATTAATAATGAGTGTTTTGTCTAAGTATGTTTAGCTTATGTGTCCTTTTGGCTACACTTTACGACAGTTCTGTGGGCTATGTGTGAAGATTTCTGCCTTCAGTTCCACTCCCACCTCCATCCACTTCCCAGATCTCCTTCCCTCCTCTTTGGGATTGTACCTCTTCCAGTCATTTTGCTTAGTCTGTTCAAGATCTAGTACACAAAGGGGCTGTTGATTGGGTGGTACCCACTCAACCATGGTTTTACTCCCATCTAATTTTTTTTCCCTTAAAAGACGGGAAATTAGAGATCCACCATAGTCCTGTTCAGGCTGAACTCTTATTTGGAGCAACTTCGTTTCACCATGGAGTCATATCTCTTACTTCTGTTTTTTTTTTTTCTCCGGGACTCTAGATGACTAAATTGTCGTGATGGATGCCTATCTTTGTATTTCATCTGCTCCAGTGTCGCATCGTTTTCTTCAGTTCATCCACAAGGGTCGTGTCTTTTAGCTCTATGTGCTGCTGTTCGGTCCATTTTCAGCTCCATGTGTTTTGTTAAGTGATACTATCTTTTACATGTCATTTTTACTCGTTAGGTCTTTGGTCCCTCCTTTTCATGGACTACTAGCTCTTGCTCACCTTTTCCCGTGCCCAGTTGGTCAATCACACTCACTCACTTCTTTGGGAAGCTAATTGGGTGTGGTTTTCTTTACCCTACTCAATACCTTATTCCATTGGGGTTTTTCTCTTCAATTTCCATCTTCATTGGGCCCAGCCTTCTCCACTTTAGCTCAGGGATAAGGAGCAGTCAATATCAATAACCCTACTTTCTCCTTTTCTCATTGTATGAAGGGTTCTCGCTCTTTTGGGGATGTGGGCTTCCTTGGAAGCTCTCGTTCCCTTAGGTCGAGCTCATGTGCATTCCCTTCAGTGGACACTTCTTGACCAATGAAACTTCTCCCACAATCCCTTGGACCATCCCATTACCCTTTCCCCTGGGTTAAGAGCCGACCTTGCTTGGTAGTTTGACAAGGAATTGACCACAGTGGAGGTTCCCATTCTTCCACATTGACTGGAGTCTCATCTGTTTACCGATGCTTTCTTGGTGGGTTGGGGGGGATTTCCTCAATTCCCAAGAGATTTCTGGTCATTGGTCCATTAAGGAGGCTACTCTCTGTTTTTAACATCCTGGAATGTTTGGCAGTTTGTTAGGCTCTGTATAATTTCCTCCTCCTGAGAGGGCGGGTAGTTATGGTTCATTCCAACTATTCCACTGTCGTTGGCTATATCACCAAGCAAAGGGGAACCAAATCAAGATCTCTGTATTTTTAGACCTTGGATCTTCGTTACTGGGCCCATGACCACTACATGGTATGTCATGTTTCTGGTATTATGAATATGATGACAGATTGCTTATCTCAACCCAACCAGATTCACCCTATGTATTTTGGTGGGTGTGTTCTCAACTGCGAACACCAATTATAGATGTGTTTGCCACTCACTGGAATGCCAAAATTCCTTCCTTTTGGTCTCTGGTTCCACACCCTTCAGCTCTGGGCACAGGTGAGTTCAGTCAGGATTGGAGAGGTCTTCACCCATATGCCTACCCTCCAATCAGACTCCTCTCCAGAATCTTTTTCCCTTATCCAG